GGGAGAAGGGTTTGCAACAGACCCCCACTAACCAATGAAACGCCCGCTATCTTCATATTCATATCGTCTTGCTATGTCAATCTGCGCCACTTAAAGTTAATCAATCAGAAAGCGCCGTTAACGAGAGCTCAGTGAACCATGCAAACTGTCAAAACAACAACTAAGCCTTGCTCCACGTGAGTGAAAAATGTCGGACGACAAGGAGAATCTGGTATCAAAATCTAAGAGAGAGAGAAAGCCAAAAGTTAATCCAGAAGACGTAATTTGCCAGTTTTGTGGAGTAGATTTAAGAATTAAATTTAGAAGTGGCTTCAAGAGTTTTGTAAACATTTTTAATCAGAGTCGAAGGGAAGAATTTCAGTGTGTCTTCGTCGATCGCCTTCGAACGGTCGGTTTTCACTTCGAAAATAGGTCGCACATGTCTCAAATCATATGCCTTCCTTGTGCAAGAAAAGTTAACAGTTTTTGCCAGTTTTATGAATTGTTGAATCAGGCCGCTTCTCAATGTCTGGATTCCCGTGAGGTTTCGTCGAAACGAAAGTTCTCAACACCGACAGGAAAAAGTCCAGGTAGAAAGAGCTTCCGTGTCCGCTCCCCGGCACATGCAAAACCTGCATCTAGCAGGAAAGCGTCCTTGTTTGACTCGCCGACGAAAGGAAAACCCTTAACTTCAGCGATGGATACAAATTTAAACATTGATGATTTGGATCCAACGTCCATCAGCTTTGCAATGTTGTGGTTAAGGGCAAGTTTGAGAATGAAGACGCCATTCTTATCAAGGCCCTGAGCTTGAACAAGTGGATATGGATGGCTGCCACAAGTATTCTACTTCGTCCGCCATTTTCTAAAAGGTAGTGGCCACGAAGACTGTTTAGTTCGAGGGTTGATTGAAAACGTGTTGCTCTCAGCCAATGGGAATTTTTCATCCTTACGAGATCGTAAATTTCGTTGGTTAGTGGGGGTCTGTGGCAAGCCCTTCCTCTCCCCTCCGCACATTCCGCTCGCCCCAATCCCCCCTATTCTCCCCTAGGGCTTGCTTCGCAGGTTGACCACAGGATAGAGGTATCATAGAAAAAACAATAAAAAACGCCATTTAATGCTAAAATTGGACACTCAGTACACTAAAACTCGCTCGAAATTACTGTAAACATTGATTTCAAGAGATAAACATTGATACATTTGATTTGAAATATTATACTCAGTTCCATTAGAGCGGTTCCGCTACAAGGTTGAAGACAATACGAATACAGGCTGTTCGGTAAACTGAAACGGGCCGTCTAATCTGGGGTGACTGCCTAAATAAAGGTGAAATTTACAATAACATAGGGAAAAAATTGCAAGACTTATAAAACCGACAGCTTAAAACAAGATGACCGCTTAATACGGTGCCGCTCAAACAAGTTCCACTGTATTTCCTTTATTTCAAAAGCTTCTTGTGCAATCTACGCTAGTTGATAGACATAGAAAGAATTATAGGTGTTGAGAATTTATTTTTCAGTCACAATCTTAACTTTAAAAGAACATGGGATCGGTAGTTTTTGACTGACAGCAGATAGTCAGTTTTATTGCTGCATCAAGTGATATGAGGCGGCAGCGAGCTATGCTTTCCGAAACAAACTTGTTGTAAGAAAAAAAAAAGATCGCTGAGAAAATATTTACCACTTCTGTTATGTATTTTCTGGTTTTCATCGCAACCTAGCTAAGGAATAAAAATTTCGGAGGGCGGGCTAGCACGAACCAAGGAATTTAAAAATTCTGCCACACCTGCATAAAAACAAATCTTCTTACCAACGAATTTTTGGCCAGAGACGCGTCGAAATCGCGTGATGCTTTGAGAAATAACAAAAGATTCTGTTAATGCTATCAACTAAGGCCTGAAATAAATCTCGATCTTTTAAAGGTCACAACAGAAGCAAAACGTGATAACCTTGCACAGAGTAACCTTGCCTTGCAAAACGATATTTACTTCAATATTTGTTCCCAAAACGAAAATTTGTTTGGCTCACATACTTTTCTCTACTATTCGAGTCACGGAATGCTTCATTTTCTTCTAGAAATGAAATGAAAGTCGAAATATTCCTGAAATTTTGAACGTCCAACTATGAAGGTCAAAAAACGCGTTGACATCGGAAGACTCCCTGATCACCGATGGCAACAATTTGACAAATGACAGGAAATAAATTTGGGATATTTCCAAACTTCCACATACGTGAATGTATGAAGTGTCACATCTCAGCAAATTTTAAACCAAAAGTTGGTAATTTCGTTCCTTGATCAAGAGAAATTTTATTTTTTACGTCTTTTCCCTCCAAAAATTGTGTAAATATTGACTTTGCCGGCATAGACGTTTTTCTTATCGAGGAATAATGAACCCCCGTTGTGCTAAGTCTGGTATTTATTTTCATCGCTGTGATTTGTTTTCTTACGTACACACGACACAAAAGAGCATTTTTTGAATAAATCCCAAAATCCCAAAGAGGATTTTTAAAGCGGGACACAAAAGAGCTAAACTGATCGTGCATCCAGTTCTGCCGATGATTTCGCTACTTTTCAAATGTTAGAGTGAAATCATTATTTTATAATATTTTCGGTGGTATATCCAATAAAACGTTTAAAAGTTATTGTGATTTCAAACCGACGTTTTGGCCACGTGTGGGATAGGAAGCCGACAAAAATTCCGTTAGTAGCGTCCACGTTTTCAAAGTGTCAATCAAAACATGAGCTTAATTTAAGAAGCCGTTAAACTTGACTCCAGTTAAAACTGACCGCGTGCCGCGTGTAAGGAGTAAGTGAGTCGTTTGAACATTTTCCCATCAAGATGGACAAAATACTGCTTCTGCTTGGATGTGTGGCTCTATTTGGCCTTGCTCAAGGTTACACTTTGCGAGACATGCTACGCGAGCGAGGTAAACATATTTTTAAGTATTTTCAATGTAAAGATAAGTTCCTTCGTTCGTTTGTAATTGTTTTTCCTCACTTGAACCAAACAGACATCAGCAAACATGTACGGAAAGGATACTCAGCGAAAGACGTTTCCGATCTTTAAAATTTACGACAAAATCACAATTTATATTACACTCGTGCTTTTGCTAAATTGTAGACAAAGAATTATGGCACATTTGGAAATTCTAGATCAACTAACCATTTCCGTAAATAATCCTGTATGTCTAATGTTTCACAAATTTAGTCCTGTGAATTTTCTCAAGCGAGTTCGACTTTTAGTAACCATGATCAAAATTCAGTAATTATGCACACATCTACAGGCAAAATCTTTAATATCATTCGGTGGGGTGAAAAATTAAATAAAAGTGAAGACAATGCTGATCGTAAGGGGACATCAGATTTCGACAACAGGCGATCAGATGCTTTTGTTCACACGGCACAGCCCTAGACACAGGGCAATTCAATCTAAACCAAACATCATCACAAATTGTTTCCACGGGCTTGGTTACAGCTTGAACATTTCAATTTCTGACGTAAACTTCCAATTCGCCAGAAATTAGCGTCTATATTTTCAGTTCTTTATTTTTATTCATTAGTTTATCCCTTGTGTGCCCGCGTCGTTGCTTTCGAACGAAGTTTCCTGTCCTTTATCATTGTACACTGTAATTTTTTTCTATTTATTATTTTTTGATAGCTTTGAGACGCTACGAGGCATATGATACAAACGACTATCTAGCCACCAAATACCAGAGGGAATATGATGCCTTGAGAGCTAGAGGTATTGTTAAGTGATTACTCTATTTTGACATGTTATTGTGCAGCTTCATTGACTGATTCAGTGACACTCTTTCACTAATTCGTTCTTTCTTTCATTCATTCACAGTCAATCATACTCCCGAAAAAAAAATAACTTCTAAATGAATATTTGAATATTTACTTGCAGCTCTAAGGACATTACGAGAATTCCATCTGAGGCACATGTTTGACGCAAACTTCAGAATGGACGAAGGTATTGTTTGTGTCTTGCTTCTGTTAAAATTTCCACGCGCGAAACTCGCGTGAGACTCAGTATGGAAACAATTTAGAGACATGTCTCTCCTGTCTCCCCTCCCCTCTTAATTATACGAATACTTAATTAATTTCGATTGTTGTGATGAAACTTCGAAGATCGCAGCAAGTTCATCTCGGTAGCCGAGCAAAACTCCTCGTTGCTTGGTTCTCTAACGGTTATTTAAAGCAACCGCAAAGATGGCTTCAATAGGATTAACCGTTAGTCGCCAAAAATTTAACCGTTTTTTTTTTTTTCGGAAAACAGTTTACTGTTAGCGGTAAAATAGCAAAATTTTAAACCTTACAAACCATCACCCGGCCCTTGACACCCTCGTATGGGAGCTAAACTGGCAAGAAATGAAGAATAACAGAACGAACACAAACACTGAATTTTTTTTTTGTCAGTGCATTGAAAAATCATGACAAGGAAACAGCTATGTGAAATCATTCGAACAGAACACGATCCAGAGACAAACGGAATTTTCGTTGGGCATAGACAGGAATTGAAGAATGTTGAAATTCTTTTGGGATTTGAACTGTTTTGACTCGAAGCGGTACTGGGTTTTCACCATTACGGTCCAAAATTGGAATTTTTTCTTAAAGGAACCAAAAAGACATTCGTACTTTGTAACTATAACTGAAATGTTTAGCCGAGGTATAAAGAGCCCAACTTTGCCTCCAGGGCCTCTCCTCATCTTCCCGTTACCTGGAGCAAGAGAGGGCGGAAAGATTAGAGACCCTGGGAACGAGGTTGTGAAGAGTCGAGCGGTACACCCCTTATAAGCTTTAAAAGTTCCTCCCCTCCCCTGTGCTGTCGGCTTTCGGGAGTCAGTGTGTTTTTCTTTCTGTTAAAGAATGCAGGGATGAAAATAGAGACTGTGCGGACGTCGTCCAGGTGAATGGCGGTGATTCATACTGTAATGAATCTGATGTAAGAATCCAGATCTATGTCAGGGCATATTGCAGATTGAGCTGTGGCTTCTGTGAGTAGATGGAGAAATTCATTGCAACATCATAGTAAATAACATGTCTACTAAAGATTCCCTTCATTATTTATACAATTCTTCAAGTCATAAATTTCACTTCTTACGTGTCCCTTGTGGGGCATCATATTAACACAGTAGTCAAACGTATGCGCATGTGCAAACGTTGAAACGATTTCGTATCTTAAAAGATGGCCCATCATGGTGTTTTAAAAAAGTAAGTAACCTCACAGACTTGAGTTGCGGTATTTTTATAAAAGTGTATAACGTTTTTTTTGATAAAAGTTAAAAACAGACTGGTATATTACCAGAAAACATGTTTTTGATTAAATTTTGTTTATGGTAAGTTTAAATTCTTGCTTTACCTTGCCTTTTTTTCTCCTCTCGCAATCCTTTCGTCTTTTCTCATAACCTGAAAGGTGATATTGTTGGGAAAAATTATACTCTTACCTCTCTTAGGGTTTCAAGAGTTAACCGCCTTCACTGAGTTTTAAAAGGCAGATTTCGTGAATAGAAGCATCTTACCTAAGATCAACTCCAAGAGAAGAATATAACGGAGATTCGGAGTATGTAAAGAAGTATACTAAGGCCATGTCCTTCCACAGAGTCAGGGAATTTTTTTTTTTTCAGTTGTATTGTTTGTTTTAAAGGTGAGGGTTCTAGGCCAACGAAACCACCACACCCAGGAGGGAGTCGTGGTAAGTACTTCAGCTTTATCTAACTACAATTTTTGGCAAAGAGAATTTTTTCGAACGAATGAAAAATACGTACACGGCACACCCTCAAGGGATCCGGCCTTTTCCGAAATTCCCTGAGCCTCTGTTCAAAATCGAGATCGATAATGAAGCCAATGATATGGGTACCTTTTGAACACAAACATTTTTGTAGCCATTGCTACAGCTCTGAGCGATGAGTTTTAAATGTTACAACAATGGCATTCCAGTTGGGCAAATTTTCTTTGCCTTGGGCTTTCACTCTGAAAAATTATTTCCTTTTTGTGGAAGTTCTACTCGTTTTCGAATTCAGATGAAAGTTAAAAATTTTTTTGCATGACTACCATCATTTTGCCGAAACTGCTCTAGTGAGCCTCGACTCGATGCGCTCGACCCAGTTTTCTTCGCTCGCTTTCAGATCTGTGGGAGGTGAACGATTGCCATGTCAATGTCATCTTTGTCATAAACGTTATACCTTACTAACTTATTTTCATTTCCTTTTCCCATTTTAGCGTGCGAAAATGTGTTGGAACGTTATTACCCTGGATCCTGTAGCACATACAAAAAGTTTTGCAATGCTGATGATGCAGTTAAATTTTACCTAAATAGAAACTGCTATGCCACATGTCACGGTAAGTGTCCTTAACATCTCTGAAGATTTCCAACTTCAAATACAATGGAAAGGCGCAAACTCGTTCCCAAAGTCTCTCTTCTGGTCCCCTAGAGTTAGGAAGAAGTTAGAAGAGTTCTGGCCCTGGGAACAAAGTTACGTAACATAACCCCCTCCAAAAAACAAAATAAATAAATAAAAAAGAATAACAGCCTCCCTCCCG